TGATCTGTGACAAGAGCTCTTTCTTGTGACCTTGCCGCAGAAGAAAACACATTGTGTAACTGCACTTGGCCAACAAACCGGGCAGATGTATATTAATCATTGGCTGATGACGAGCTCAGAGGTAACTGCGCAATGTGATGCACCTTCAAAAAATGTAATCCTGGCATGTATTAAGAAAGAAAATTTCCAACAATGATGAGGGCTTGTTACTTGCCATGCACAAATGGACAAGGGACAGAGATTTCTAGTCTCCTGTATTGGAGATTAATTGAACCTGGGCCAAGCACGCAGAAGTGATTGGTAAAGGAAGAGTGTTTCTTCTGAGGCAGTTTTAGAACAGCTTGTCTTGCTTAATGAAACAGTAACAAATACCATGACTGGGAGGGGATATGACTGCAGTCTGTCTGTCAGGGCAGTGAGGAGGAACAAAGCCTGCTTAGGGGGAATACTGCAAAGTAGCCATCAATACCAGTAGCTAAATTTAGCATTAAAACAAATTTGTATAATTTGTATCATGTTCTACTTGCATATTAATTGGAATTAAAAGATACAAAATTGGACCTAATTATTATTGTTTTTTATAAAAGAAACCCTTTTAAATATGCTGAAAGCATACTTTTGAAGTCAAAATTTGCCAAGTACTCTCTGTAGTGAAGAAATTGAATGCTCCTAATTACACTGACTTTATGTATTTTCTGACTACGTATCTGTGCCATTTATTTCAGGAGGTCAAAATTAATGAGTAGTGTTGGGGAAACCATGATTTTCACTCCTTAAATAACTTCGTATATCTTTTCTTTAAGATTCTGTGTCCTGGTATGTCTTGAGCTCTAGATTTTGCTCTTTTTCTTTGCTTCTAGAACCTGCTGTTGTTTCAGTACTCTCTCACAGGTCCTCACAGGATCTGTATTTACCTATTTGAACTAGGCCTATAGTGTGTTAGGAAAAAAATAATTGCCCCATAAATACAGATATATGGTATATTTTTTCTAGTTCTTTTTAAGTATGTGTGTGAACTGGGGATATATGGACACAGAAGATTAATTTCCAGAAGGAAACTTAAGTAGCCTTAAGAAAATCACCTATGTTCGATTTGCTTCAACAACTCCACATTTATTTGTAATTTAAATTAAGTTCTTGTGGCACAAGTGTATTCATTGCTCAAGAGAAGGAAAACTTGTTTTTCTAGTAGGTGTGGCTGCTGTTACCGACATTAACAGAGCACCAGCTATCTGAAATACAATGTGTCCATAGCTGACTTAGGTGTTGTACCAGGATTTTTTTCCCTCAGTATTGTTCTGTATTGAATAATACTTGCAATTTACCTTAAAAATATTTAAGTTTTTATCTGTTTGAAATAAACGATTGGTAGATTATCTCAGCAAAATACCTTAGCAAAAAATAAATGGAGGACTGAACAGAACTTCACTCAGCTATCTGCTTTAAAAGGTACTTTTTCCTTTCCAGTGTTCACTGTTTAAAACAGTTGAAAAGATGTATTTCTTCTTGTTTATTATCTGCTAGCAAAAGCAGAAGAAAAAAGCAGGTAACAAATTGATTCTGTTATTTAATATTGACAAGTTTTGATATTTCTTTAGTTAAAAACTATTTATTCTATAAGACTGAACAATATTTTTAAGTCATAAATAGATAAGACTAAGGAAAAAAATGTTAAATGTGACCTCCTCTATGTTGTAAGAATGCTAATTTATATAATAACATCCTTGGAATGAGAATGCTTGGGGAAAACTTTTTGTACTTTAGAATGTTTCATAAAAAGACTTAGAAAATTTGAGTTGTTCTCAGTCACAAATCTCCAGCTGAAAGTCATGTTGAAATAGAAAATGAAATAAAATTTAGCTATGTTAATTTAGCTATGTAAGTGTGACTTTGCAAAATGTAAAACTGCTTAAAAATTTCTGCCCAAACTGTGGGCAATTAAGATAAAAATAGCTTAGGGAACAGGGAAGGCTTTTTAGCACTTAGAGAGGGGTGGGGAACCTGAAACTGTTTGAAATTATAAAACTTTATGTAACTACTCTATAATGGTAAGAATAGGAGGTAAAACTAAGTGTCTATTTAGATAAGGCAGGCTGCAAAAAGAGTGTGTGTATAGATAATTTTAATCTTGCTACTTTCAAACTGTATAAAAAGCTATGGTATTCCTTTGCTCAGGGGAGTGCACTGGGGAAAACACCTGCCCCTTTGCATTCCCCGGCCGTAATAAAAGTGCTTTTCAGATTGTTCAAAGGTTTCTTTGAATCAATGTGACAGTAGCAGACTCTTACCATGTATTTGCAGTTCTGATCCTAATTGTAAGAACTTCTGGGGGAAGGACTTCTCCATTTCAAAGACAGAGGAGACAGTGCTTTCTGCTGCTCCTTTTCTGCTTTGCGCCTAGTGGGATACAGTGAGATTTCTGGTGTCCTGTGACTGTTCCAATCTGTAAAGCAGTTTCTTGGTAGCTGGCAAAGGCTGCTGTAAATCATAACCCTTGGCAAATGGGGCATTTTAAAGGGTATGTTGTGATTGTAGTTCTCCTTGGCTTTCTCATGAAAGAGCAGTTGTGAAAATATTTTACATTATTCTGAAAGCATGAATGATTATTTTTTGCCTACTAGAAACATTTTCTTCATCTCTGCAACAGCATCACTTTATTTCGTGTTGGCATTTTACCCCACACTTCTTGCTGGCAGCTGGGGAAACTCTTCTTCCAGTCCGGTTTTCTGATCTGGTGTGAATTTGATTAATCTGGGACACTCTTTTTCCAAAGACCCTTGTGATAAAAGCAGGCCTTTGAAGAGACTTGCTGTTACTTTACTGTTTATGGATCATATCTCAATGCCTAAAGATGAATTTGTAGAGAAAACTTCAATCTGAGCTCCATTTGCAGAAATTACTGCTTGAGAGTGCCCTGAGCTCCAGTCTGGGCATTAACACTTGCTCAAGATTGTGGCCATGCAGGTACTCAGGGCTGCCTGTCTGTCCTTGCAGCAGCAGGAGTGTAAGAGCCGACCGCCAAAATGTTCCAGGAGCTGAGCCGGCTTTTAAGCAGTGTGAGGGGGCCCTGATCTCCAGCGAGCATTAATATGTGGTGACCTTTCCTGCAAGCCCTGCCTTGTACAGTGCTAAACAGGGTAGAGCTGCCAACTGAGAATAAGTTTAATACCTGCATAGATTTCACCTGTCTTCTGCTGGATTGTATGAATTGACCTTCCTCTGTATGTATTGCCTCATCTGTGGTGAACTGCAAATTAGGAAATTTATAAATTAGCAATTATATCTGAGCCATTGTGTGCAATCCCCAATTAGTATGTTTATTATGAACTTGATTAATTCTATATACATTTAATTTATATATCAGCCTCTTGCTTGTCTGTGAGAAGTCTGGTTGCAAGGATTTTTTTACATAATATACGCTGTAGGAAAAACAAAAGTTTTGCTTTGCTTTAAGAATTACTGCCTAATTATTAAATTGGTTATTCTAAAATTTGTATTATAAAAAATATTGATTAATAATAATGATTAATAATTATTCCTTGTGCTGCTGTATATAGACCTCTGTTATATTCTCCTACAGACCCCTCCAGGTACAGAAACTGCTCCACACATCTGACAAATGGAGGCATTCAGAGTGTCACATGCAGTATCATCCATACCATTAAAGGTGTGTTCTGTGGCTGATTTTACATAAAAGCACAGTAGCTGGGTCTCTGATTAAGTCAGTGCAAAATGATAAAGATTTACCCCCATCTTATTTGTGAAATCCTTGAACAATGATCATGAGTCGATATTATCTCATACACTACGTATTTTCTTTTCTGCAGATGTGGCAACATAAAGTACAAGGACAAAGAAATTTACATCCACCTTTAGATAAATTCAGAATGTTGTGTGGCAGGAAAAAATCTTACTTTGTTGCTGCTGTGTGCATTATTACTCTAACTTCAATGGTCACAGTTTCTTATCTTAGGTTGCAGAGACTTTCTCACCAGCCAAAAGTAATTCAAGAAGGTAGCAAATGTAGAGGGGAAATTGCCAATAGCACAATAACACCATTAAAAGATAACAAAACTTTTATTATATCCCCATACTTTGATGACAGAGAAAGCAAAGTCACTCGTGTGATTGGGATTGTTCACCACGAAGATGTGAAACAACTATACTGCTGGTTCTGCTGTCAGCCCAATGGAAAGATCTATGTATCAAATGCAAAAATCGATGTTCACTCAGATAGATTTGGATTCCCTTATGGTGCAGCAGATATAGTTTGTTTGGAACCTGAAAACTGTGATCCAACGCATGTATCAATTCATCCCTTTGCACATGGAAATATTGACCAGCTGCCAAGGTTTGAAATTAAAAACCGCAAGCCTGAGCCCTTTTCTGTTGACTTCACTGTGTGCATCTCTGCCATGTTTGGAAACTACAACAATGTCTTGCAGTTCATACAGAGTCTGGAAATGTACAAGATTCTTGGAGCACAGAAAGTGGTGATCTATAAGAACAACTGCAGCCATCTGATGGAGAAAGTCTTGAAGTTTTATATAGAAGAAGGAACTGTAGAGATAATTCCCTGGCCGATAAACTCACACCTCAAGGTTTCCTCTAAATGGCACTTCATGCAAGATGGAACACACATTGGCTATTACGGACAAATCACAGCTCTAAATGACTGTATATACCGTAACATGCAAAGGAGCAGGTTTGTGGTTCTTAATGATGCTGATGAAATAATTCTTCCTCTTAAGCATCCAAACTGGAAAACAATGATGAGCAGCCTTCAGGAACAAAATCCAGGGACTGGCATTTTCCTCTTTGAGAACCATATCTTCCCAGAAACCATCTCTACTCACATGTTCAACATCTCGTCCTGGAATACTGTGCCAGGTGTTAACATATTACAGCATGTTCACAGAGAGCCTGACAGGAAAGATGTAATCAATCCCAGGAAGATGATAGTTGATCCACAAAAGGTGATTCAGACTTCTGTCCACTCTGTCCTACATGCCTATGGGGACAGTGTGAATGTTCCCATGGATGTTGCCCTCATTTATCACTGTCGGAAGCCCCTTCAAAGAGACCTCCCCAGAGAATCCCTTGTCAGGGATACAGCCCTGTGGAGATACAACTCATCGTTAATCATGAATGTTAACAAGGTGCTATCTGAAACCATACTGTAAGTTCAAAAGTGAAACCTCAGTTCTAAGGAGGGAAAGTGGAGAGCCACCCTTATTGTGGGAAGGCAGAGGAGATTGTTTAAAGAGCATATTAAAATGATTTCCACATGAAGGTTACATTTTGCAGTGATTATTTAGGGAATCTATAGCAGAGCCAGGAGTCATTTAATCATATTAAAGTTCAATGTAGATTGCACTCTTGTAAAATGTAAAATTTGTTTTCAGTTAAAAAAAAAAATTTAAAAAATCAGTATTTCTCAACTGATTCAAATAATGCAAATCAGTTTTCAACTGTACTAGAAATACAGCTATAGTCATTAGTATTAAACCTAATTTGCTTAATTCTTGAAGTTTGTATGTCACTGGATACAAAATTTGTATGCACCAATTGAGTAAAAGGTAAATTATCGAGCTAGCTCTACATTTCAACTGTAAAAAAATTAACCCCTCATGTTCTTGGAAATAGTGTCTGTTAAAGTGGTGATGTACTGTCACACTAAACAGCTTTTGGGAGTTTTGCTGATCCCAGTGTCTGTTCAACTGGGTTTTTGAGACATGTAAGTTTAAGAAGAAGAGTGATCACTCTAATTACCCACAGCTGTTCTGAATTACTTAAGTGGTAAGTGCTGAATTGTGTTGGAAAGGTTTAAAACAGAGGCAAGGGATACAGTTTGATGTTAAAGAGACTTTTGTGAACTGAAAAGAAGCTACTTCGAGGAGGAAAAAATGGATGGCTGAACAACTATTTACAAAACATATTAGTTTGTTGGGTTTTTTTCTGGGACCTTGAAGCCTCGTAAGAAAATGCTTCTTCATGAAATTTAGGCATGAATTGCATTTTTTTAGTCCATTATGTGGTGGGTAAGTTGAATTATATTGCTTCCTTGTGTAGGTGTAAGGGTACAGAAGCTGCATCTTTTCCAACCTTTATCTAAAAATAGTGCCAAGTAGTTACTAACTTCTGCTGAAGGGTCAGATGGAAAGCAAAGCAAACAAAAAAACCTCAGTGTAGTTCCACGGTTTCAGTCATATATTTTCTGTTTGATAAGTCCCCATGTGCTGTACTGTTGTGGCATTGTATTAGAACATTCATATGAAGGCACATCTGAGGGCAGTCAGTCTGACACTGGTGTCTGACAGAGGGAAGCGTGTGAGAGGTTTGCTTTTTTATATTTCTACACCAGTGTCACTCTTTCATCTCTTCCTCTATTTTGTGGTGGCACATACCCTTAAGCTCTGTCAATAGTAGATTAGTATTATTAGCTAGCAGATGTCCAAGAGGAACTTTACTTAGAGGTCTTCAAGAGACAGTCTTTAAAAAACTATTTGCTAATTGTGTTCATAATTACTAGCTGCTATGTTACTGGTTAAAATTTCATTTGTAAAACTAAAAGGGTAGAAGAGCAGTGTAGCGTGTACTGGATGCTTGTCATTGTGGTTTCTGCTTGCATACTCTGGGGCAGTGTAGAAAAGGAAAACTTAAGAGTTCTGATTTAGAATTCTGATTTAGTTTAAACTTTTCTGCAACTTGTGAAATACCTGTGGCAGAATTCCTTTTCAAGTACCACTTCACAGCTTTTGGCTAACTGTGGCATTTGCTTCGGAGTGGCTGCAATGTCTCCGAAAGTTTGTATCAACAAACTGGCAGCTGTATTTACAGCCCAGGTGCCTGCTGCAGGGGTACTGTCTTGCTTAGTAACAGGTCCACTTAGAAGTTTAGACTCATGTAGTTTGCAAGGGGAATCTGGAAGTCCAACTCATAGCATGCTTTGCTCAGGACTTTGTCTAGGCTGGCTGGACACACAGTCTCTCTGGGCAACCTGTTCCAGACTTAACCTAACCTCTAACAAGAGAATTTCTCTTGTTGCAGTTTGTGACAATTGGCCGTTGTCTTGCTGTATGAGTCTGACTTTGTTTTCTTTTAGTTCCTTATTAGTTAGCTGGAGACAGTAGCAGGGCCTCCCCTCCCCTTGCCCACCACCACCTTCCTTTTCCCCACCATTCTTTCTGGAAGGCTGAACTTGGCTTTCAGTTTCTCTGTCATCTTGTGCTCCACCCCTCTGGATTCTTCATCATCAAGGTCACTAACAAAGTAGTTACCCACATTTTCCTGTTTCACTGATCTGGGTACAGTGACATTTCTGGCATGCTCCTGTTTAATCTTTCAAAGTTAACACACTGTTTTATAGGTGGCTCCTTAAGAGGAAGCTGAGTTACCACACACATCATACACAGTGTAGTTACTCCTACATTAAGAATGATGAAAACTTGGTGTCAAGAGAAGTAATTGAAAGCTTTCTACTTCATGTAAGCTTCCTTCACTTTTGAGTGCAGTTTGACTTGAGAGTTGTGAATTTGGGTTCAATTTTTTAAAATCCTTGACTACAGAAACATTTTTCAAAGTAAATTGGTATGAATAAAGGTGGAAAACTGAGTGCTTAAGACTCTGGCCTGGAATTTAAGAGACAGTGCTCCACTGTGACTTCATGCAATTCCTATTGCATCACTCAAATACTGATTCTTACATATGAAACTCCCACTGGTGTAATTAATACTTGCAGACATTGGGGAACCCTGGCCTTCATTCAGTACTAAGTATGAAATTGGGTCTCCTTTGGAGAGTGGGAAGAAAAAAATCATATTAACAATACTAATGCTAACAGTTTTGTCTTTTCAAGGACATGAGCCAATCTTCGTGAAAACTCCTGTTTTCATGTTGTGTAAAAAAAAAAAAAAGACATTAAGGGGAGATTTTATTTTAAGGGAGGAGGGGAAACCAACCTAAAGCGTTTCTAAAGCACGTGATGTCATAGATACAGCTTTTAAGTACATGTTAAATAGCACAAAAGTATGTGAACAAGTATTTGCTACTCAGCAGTTACCTTCTGTACGTCAGGTCTCTGATGATCAATAAGACCTTTTTTCAACTCCTGTGCTTTCCGTCAGACTTTTGATTTTTTTCTTTTTTTTTTTCCCCAGAGATGTGGCATTCTGTCATTTGCCCCTGCTTTCCAACTCTAGATGTAGCAAGTACTTTAAGTGCATTATGTTAACTGCAACTTCTGGAAAAAGTGAATGGCTGGTAGACATAATTTAATATAAGAAAGTGACTTATTGTAGAGATCGAAATCACCTTCCTATTCACTATATTTCTACCTACCTGTGAACTAAATTATGTTCTAACACAAACTACAGGAAATAAAGACTATAAAATACTGATCAAGCCATTCTGAGTTCTGATGAACACTGTCAGAGGTTCTCTGCGGTTAACTGCGATGGCAAGCTCTGTCAGAGATGAAAAGTTGCCTCGTTCTTGCTGAGGAGAAATCATATTGACATGTTCCTGAACTTAAAGAAATAATTTTTGTTAACATCTGATCCTAGTTAAAGGGCTCTTTTGATTCTTCTGTTTCAAAGGCTAAGTATTTAAAGCTACCAGAAAGAAAAACATTTTGGAGAAAGATTCTGGAGATAGAAAAGGTTTGCTATCTTCTCATTTTTGTTAAGCAGCCATGCACTGTAACCAGTATTTGCTGTTACATGTATAAAAGCCTATGGTTCTAAAATCGTAGCTTCACCTTCTGTTTCAACAACAAAAAAATAGGTCAGAAGTCAGGTCAAGCACTACTTCATTTCAGACTTGATAGCAGACTTGAATGGTTTAAACATTACAAGCTATGCTTCAGAACCCAAATAGGTATATTTAAACATGAGTATAGACAAAATGTTGTGGTGAATACTGTTAGCATGCTGTATTGCATTATGTCCAAAACAACCCATTCCCAAATGCCCAAATAAAAGTAAATGATTGTGCATTGCATGATGATACCATTGGGTGCGCAACTTTGGTTCATGCAAAGTCTCATTTTATGGACACGCTGCTGACAGTCCATATATTCCTGAAGATTCTGCATATGTGAGCTTTTCAGCCATGTTCTTTCCATAACACCAAATGGATACTATGGTCTGGCATACTGGTGGCAAAAACCAAGCCCGTATCATTTTGGCCATTTAGTCCATTTAACCAAGACATTTCACCAGCCAAAAAACTCGAACCTCTCTTTGACTTTCTATATTCTGGTAGTGGCCAGCGGCTTATCAGTTTTTCTGTCCTCAAGTCCATTATATACAGGTATCTGTTATCAAATAGTAGAGCAAATATCTCTCCAAAGCCCAGCAAGGACACATTTAAGAAGTCTGGAGGTTTGATAACCCTAGAAGACAAGAAAACAGTGTTAGAAACTCACAATGTAGTCATGAGCTTGAATTACTAAACCAAATCCTTAGGTGTCTATACTCACCCTTCTGAAAGAATTTAGCAAGAACTGGATGCAAATTTTTCAAATTAAGCAACTGAACACTTAGCTGCAGTCAGGCCTGTGGTTTCAGTTCTGACTTTGTGCATTCAGGACAGACCCTTCTGAACATAAATAAAAGTTAGGGTTTAAAAGGGACTGTTTTGCAGAGCTCAAGGGAAAAAAAGCCTTGTTTCCAGATACACACAGAAGAACAAATATACCCATGTTTTACAATAAATTTCCATATGGATTTCATGTCTCAATATCTTAAAGAGGTAAAACCTCTTGCTAATCTTTTGACCACTCTTTTAAAAGGCAGAAGTAAAACACAGAAATGCCTTATTGTGATAGGCAGGTAAGATAAATCATCCAAGACTGGTCCTTAACAGAATGCTGTTTTACTGATATAGCTTTATGCTAAGTTAAGCATTTTCATCCTGGGGAGAAAGAAAAATATTTGTTAGTTCCCCAATATCTTTACGATATTTTCCCTTATTAAATAAAACTTGGAAAAGAAATTAAAGAGTTGAGGTTTCCACAACTGGCTGTACATTTGATCATAGTATTACATAAAGCACAGAACTGAGGCACAAAAATGTATGGAGCTGAAAATCCGTTTGCATCAGTAAAAGAACATCTTTCTGGTTATAGTAGACACTCCCCAAATATTCAGGCCATTTGAATTAAGAGTTAACTGCTAGCAGTTCTGAAATGCACTTTTTTCTTTAGTAAGTTACAGTCTGATGCCACCATTTCTAATTGATACAGCTTCATTCTTTTTATGGAAACAGAATGCCATCACGTTTGATCCCTTACTGCAGTCTGATAGATTTCACTACCATTCCACAGCATTATCAAGAATGATAGATCAGTAGTGCTGTAAGGAAAAAGTCTTTAATTTCTTGTCTGATCAAAGGACCCTCAGAAATGTCTGCCTGGTTCTCTTACAGCAGTCTCTATGGCAACATTAGCTTTGGGTCACTACAGTTTCCCATTCTCAACTCCTGGCACTGAAGTCTGATTTAACTCTATATTGAAACACTTCAGCTTACAGAATGAAGATGTGAAAGAGGAGTAGCATGTGGCCATAAACCAAAACAGCAATCAAATGATTTGTATTATCAAATAAGAAATTAGAATTTAACCTGACAATATGCATGAAGTAAGATGTTTACAGATTTTTTATCATGATTCTTTTGGTCCCATCTAAAGTAAGTCATTAAAACTAGTATGTTCTACTTCGTATTTATTTAAAGAACACTGAATCCTAAACTGGAAGGTTTACCTGAGAATATCGTAGCTGGCAAAGTCCCACTGGTACAGTCCTAGTGCTGAACTGCACACTATGTATTTACCATCAAAGTGCAGTCTGGGCTGTAGGGAGATGCTGCGATCTTCAGAAACAGACAGTGTTTTTAAGCACTTGCAGTTTATTTCCCTTCCAATAGGCCAAATCTGCAATTAAAACACAGTTTAAAACCATTAAAAATTCACATTATAAACTGTTACACAGCAAGCCTCACAGTCTCTCCAGGCATCAGGTAAATCTGCGTGTTTTTTCAGAAATATTTATCTCCTTTAGGTAGGAGAATCAATTCTCCAAGTGACTTGTTAACACTATTTTTGCAGTATATGTTGTTTCTAGCCTAAAAACTCCAGTGAAAATGGGTGCTTAAAGAATGGCAAAAAAACCCCAACAACCAAAACCCAAAAACAAACAAACAAACAAACAAAAACCCCCCCACACAACCCCCAACCACCCAACTGGGACAG